AAAAAAAAAAAAAAAAAAAAAAAAAAAAAAAAAAATTGTATTTTTGTTTCTTTTGTTTCTCCGGTAAAGACATGCGAATGTACAAGTATATGCACGGACATTGCGGTCTGTCTATTTTTTTACCTCATTTACCGCTCCCTTTGCTTGTTTTTTCAAACTCATCTCTGTATGTTTGTTTTGTAATTCAACTTTTAATCCATGCTTCGGTAAAACATCTTCATAAAAGTTTTGTTTTATTCTGTTTTTTCTATCTTTTTTTTTTTTTTTGCTTCAATCATAAACTGTAAAAGAAGTACACTTCTGTTACTTTAACGTCACATCTTCGCCCTCTTTTTGGCCGCTCCACAGGCTCATCGCAGCTAAAACATTATTACGTTTTAACATAAGATATTGATCATTTATTGTTTCTTATAATATTCAAAATCAATGATAATAAAAAAATAAATACCAGTAGACTACATAGCGTTCTCTTGATGATTCCTTTGGAATAACAGAGTCTCGTCGAAGATATATTGTTTTAATACTTCTTTTGGAAGATCATCTAACTCCATGTCAAATTTAAACGGTTCTTCTGCAACCGGCTAAAAATTGGGTATATTATGAAATTTATCTTTTTTATTTGTATATTGATGTCCAATAATAAAAGATATGTACTTCGTCAGCTGGATCATAATATTGCTCTAAATAAGGATGTGCGAGTGCATCTTCCACAACAATTCGTTTGTTAGGATTAAATGTTAACATTTTATCTAATAAATCCAAAGCTCGGAGATCAGCATTTGGAAATAAACTTGTCCACGGAACCTTTGGTTTATATGGTAATGATTGAAGATAATTTCGTGCCTAAAATAACATTTCACAGTTATTCAATAACATTAATACTTATTTTTTCAATGAAATAAAACATTGAAGAATCACTAAATATAGAAAAATTTTAGTTTTGGTATTAGTACTTTTTCATTTATGATGCATTCAAGATCCTCAGAGGATGGTGATCCAAGAACTCCTAGTATATGGTTCAATTGATCTAAGTAGTGTTTGCCAGGAAATATTGCTCTTCTTGAAAGCATTTCTGCAAGAATGCAACCAACTGACCAAATATCTATAGACTTTGTATAACCCTATAAAAAGGAGGATTAAATGAGATTTAATATTCTGTTACATTCTCTTTCAGTAAATACTTCATTATTTATTTACCTTGGAATTAAGCATTATTTCTGGAGCTCTATACCATCTTGTTGCTACATATTCAGTAAGAAAACCAGCGTGATTATGCTCTGGATCAGCAACTCTAGCTAAACCAAAATCACAAATTTTAAGGTCACATGTGGTATTTAATAGCAAGTTGCTTGGTTTCAAGTCTCTGTGTAATACATTTGCAGAGTGAATGTACTTTAATCCTCTCAATATTTGGTAAAGAAAATAGCATATGTGATCATTACTAATAGCCTGAAATTAATATATAAAATTTAAATACATTAATATTTCTTGAAATAATTTTAATCATAACCATCAGCTGTGCTGACCTGTGTTTTGAGAAGTTTATAGAGATCAGTTTCCATTAGACACTGAACAATATATACATCTTTCATTTGTTCTATAGTAGGTGCCCTTAATATATCCCTTATATCTATTATCTAAAAAATAAATGTAAAGTGAATATATATTTAGAACAGTTATGTATAACAAATTACTCACATTTTCATGCTTAAACCTAGTCAAAATTTTTATTTCTCTTAATGTTCTTTGACTGTATGTCTGATGCTCAAAGGGTGAAATTTTTTTAATGGCTACCTTTGTTTTTGTTACATTATCATAAGCAGATCTGTAAAAAAAAGTTCCAAGATATTTAAAAAGTTATTTAAAATTTTTATTTTCTTTATTAAAAATTTAACATCATCCATATAAAACATAGTGACATCATTAACAAAGGAAACCAGCACACTGTGATATACATAATATTTGCATCTTCTAATCTGAAACCACATTATAAGAAATGATTTTACAATATTAGAAAGTCTCCTGCTTTTTGAAAACTTAACATATGCTTAAATTCAATTACAAAATTACAAGTTACAGCTCCAAGGTATTAAGGAGCTATGAAAATAAAATATGACTTTAATTAAGCAAGTAACAAAACAAAATAAAAAAAAGAGAGAACTAGCTTGAAACGATTTGAAAAAGTAAATCAAAAGAATTCTCAAGAAAAAAAAAATTTCGAGAATTTTTCGTATAGAAATTGGCTGTTTCTGCGAAAATGTTGGATGTAATCATGATTTTGCTAACGGTACGATGATAAGGCCGATAAGCGAAAGATAAGCGAAGAGAACAAGGAAGTCGCAACATTAACACGCAAGTTGAAAAGGGTTTGAAAGGGTGTGACAACCGTGTTTAAAACTGGCGCCAAAAGGCAACAATATATTACAATGAATAACACTTAGTAGCAGCTGCATAAGGTGTCCGGGTAAAATCAAAATCTTTCGTACACGTTGCAGAACGGAAATTTCGCCGTGAAATTGCTAATTCACTCGGTGACTATGTTTCTAGTTGTTTATCTTTCGGCCTGTCAGCTAGTGAATACACGACCAAATGTTCTCGGAAATAACAAGAGAAATTGACTCGAAGATACTTACACAACCATCCCGTAGGCACCCTCGCCCATGTAGGACAAATTCGTGTATCGTGGACCAACTTCAAACGTTTGTCCACGCACGACTTCACAATTTGGATTAGCACTTGCAGAACCTTCACCCGCCATTTTGACAACTATTTTGCGGCTCCGGCGAAGACAGAACGAGACCTGCTTCTTAGCCTGACCATGAACAACGTGACAATTAGATAGAGAATTGCAGAGGAATTTTACGCGTTACAGTAGCGCAGCGCTAACTGCCGACATTTTACTTTATTAATTGAAGACGATCATCCTCACTAGACTTAATAATTCTCTGGAATTAGATATTTAAAGTAGAATCAAATATTTGTGTCTCATTCGCATTAAATTCGGAAAGAGAAATACTTGAAATTTTTTAGAAAAAGAATTTGAATAGAAAAATTTCAATCAAAGTAGAAAAGCGCTACTTATTATCGTTACGTTTTTTTTTTTTTTTTTTTTTGAATTGATAAATTGTTCCTGTTGAATTAAGCTTTGAGATATACAAAATGACGCTGCCAATGTAGAGAGCGCTGCAGTTACGATATAATTTTAGATAGGAATTATAATCCCTGTCTGTCATACTTGTGTAGTGGTTTTGTATTTGAGAGCGCTGCAGTTACGATATAATTTTAGATAGGAATTATAATCCCTGTCTGTCATACTTGTGTATAAATTTTGTAAAAAAAAAAATCTTCCACAACAGCTTGACACTAAATATAATAAGATTGCAATATGAATGCGCCTCCGACATTTGAATCATTCCTTCTATACGAAGGAGAGAAAAAGTATGTATTGTAAACCAATTAATCAATTTGGTAGTTTTCGTCGAAATGAGATGACATATATGATTTTTGTTTTATTTATAGAATAATCAAAGAACAAGACACTAAAGTTCCCAATGCCGCAATTTTTACTGTTAATAAGGAAGATCATACCCTAGGAAACATGATCCGCAAGTAAGTGCAGTTCTTTTGTAAATATCTTATGAAAATAAATGCATTTTTATAATATATCATAGTACATTATTATAATGATCTGTACTATTGTTTAATAGTCAGTTACTGAAGGATCCTCAAGTTTTGTTCGCTGGATACAAAGTTCCACATCCGTTGGAACACAAGTTTGTGATTAGAATTCAAACTACATCAGACTACACGCCACATGAAGCATTTATGCATGCTATTACAGATCTCATAGCAGAACTTTCATTATTTGAAGAACGTTTTAAGGTAAAGATTTAATATATATATATATAAAGTAAAGATTTAATATATATATGTATTACAAACTGTTATCCGCTTATAATATTGTATATAATATTTCAGGAGGCTATTAAAGAAAAGAAAGAAGGATTAGATTAAATCACAAGTTATTTTTGATATTGATTTTAAATATTAAGAAAATACTGTAAATAAGATATGTATTGTCAACTTTTTGGATTACTAAGAGACTGGATTTATTACATTAAAAGCTATACATTTGTACATAGGAATGAGTAAATAATAATTTTGGAAACTAAAAAAGAATTTTATTCTTTATTTTAAATCAGTTTTTCTCTCAAAAAATAGGAAGCATAATGAAAAATCATTTTTTATTGTTCAAAATGAATTACTGTTAATAAATTTATGCAAAATACTAAAATCAGTCTCTTACAATTTTATTCATTTTTAACTACAAAGCTTAGATCTAATTTATTAAATATACAATTTGAGACAAGATTCAAATTCAAGACAAGATATCAACCCTGTATTATAGCATAAAGTTGAAGGGCAAGACAAAGGTAAGTTATAGTAGTACAATTCTGCTGAAACAAACTTTGTACAAAAGTTGATAGCAAAAACAAAACATACACGCAAAACAATAAATACTTACTTTCATTATGCAGGAAATACAAATATTTTTTCAGAAAAAGTGTACTACAATCATGTCAATATAAGTTTTGAAAAATTGTGTAAGAAATGCCTTGGACTAATCCTAATTAGTCCCAATGGCTCATTCATTGAATTCATTCATTAAAGGAACTATTATTAAATGTATGACATTTTTAAACACTAAATAAATTATTAAATACATTTACAAGTTGACACAAATAACTAGTATATACATAATTACATTTGACTTTCATTCAAAGTCTCGTATGCGTTAAATTGTTCATTATGTAAATAGAATATGCTCCAATTCTACAATATAATTTAGCAATGTACTATAAAATAACTTAGTCATAACTTTTGTAATAGAACTGATATATGGCCTTGTACTTTAACAATGATGTGGAAGCACAACAAATATACACACAAAAACATTCTGATAAACATATATAAACTTTTAAACCATGAATTTAACACAAGGAGCACAAATTTTTCATCGAATTATCGATGTATTTTGGATGGACACGCATATCCCTATGCAGGAAGACATGCACATAACTGTAGCATTTAAATTCTTTCATATAAAAATATACTCTGCAAAAATCTTAACAGGTCTTTTCTTTTGTATCTTTGAGAAGCAATAATAGGTCAACAAATGACAACACGCCATTAAAAAGTTTCAGCATCATCGCATTCACGAGTATCGTGTCCAAACACTGCAAAACAGGTAAAACAATTGTAAATGGAATCGGATAGAAATGCAAGAAATTGTTAAACGGATTAGTATGAAATATTCAACAGGATTACTTAAAATAAAAACATTGTATTAGTCAACATTGAAATATTTGTTCATTTAAAAACTTTAGAAGAGAACTTTAAACGCTTGGTTTTTTTCCTAGGAGAGAGAATATTACAAACAAATGTAAAGAGAATTGCAATTCGCAAAACTTTGAAAAATAAATTCTTACTTTCACAGTTTTCGCAGTATGGTCTTTCCACTGGCGTTTTCTTCGGAGGTTTTGCAACCTTTTCTGTATCTAGAAAATCTTGAGCTTGTCGTGGACAATCCTCGGTTTCGTGCAAATCGAATTGATCACAAATATCACAGAACATACGTGGCGCAGCCATTCGTTTTTCTAATGTGGTTCTAGAAATAGTAAATATTATATAATTGTTGTAATATATCTTCATTTAAAACTTCACCTAAAAGTTCAATTCTACGAACTTTGTATAGTCATCAGCTTCGTTGGCAGGTACTCCCATTTCAAGAACTTCAACTTTGCATAATAAAGCTTCATTTTTACGTTGCATGTCCACTATTACAGAATTCAAGAAATCTATTTGACTCTTCGCTGTTTCATATTCTTCTTTTAACTTTAAGATATCAATATCTTTATCAACTGAAATTAATAATTTAATTTCATAATACAAGAATTATAAAGAATTATAAATTAATTAATTTAAAACAAATTTTACCTATATGTTGTTTTATATCATCTCCAACCGTCTGTAACATAAATTACAATTTATATATACACATAGATATATGTTACTTTGTAGCGAATTTATGTTAAATTCAGAGTCAAGAACTTACATCGTAATTATTCTTTATGTTTTCACGAGTTAGTTTTAATTGATTTGTTGCTTCCGCCAATTTAGCAGTAATTTGTTTATTTTCTCTTTCCCTAAAATATTCAGTCGATATAAATGTGCGAAGTACTAGAAAAGTTTAAAATTATATTTTTTATACTTACAAATTATTTTGTGCTTCTTTTAATTGTGCAGATTCCGTGGACATAATATTCAATTTTTCTACGAAATTTTGAATATTTTTTTCAGTTTCTTTTTCTTTCATTTTTATGGTATTTGTCAACATTTCAGTTTTCTGTTCTTGTTCTGCGAACAATCTTTCAAAAGATTCCTTATTTTCAAGTAAGTTTCTGTTTTCTTTAATCACTTCATTTAGTTTACTTTGAATGAGTTTAACTTCCTTATTTTGCACCTGTTCATTATTTAATTTTTCCATTTGTGCATCTTCTAAAGCTTTAATTTGTGTTGTTAATTTATTGATCGTTATTTCTTTATTATTCAAATCATTAATTTGTTTCTCTACAATATCTTGAAGTAATTTTTGCTGTTTTTGTAATTCAGTATTTCTCTGCATTGCAGATTCAAGTTCAGTTTGCTTAGCTTTCATTTCACATTCTAAAGTACTTTGTAATTTCATTACAGATTCTTCTTTTGAGCTTTTTAACTCTTTTATAACATGTTCTGATTCTCGAAGTATATCATTTTTTACATCCAATTCATGTTGTATAGTCTTTAACTGTGATTCTAAAGTTTTTACATTTTCCTCTAATTTTAATTCTAGAGATTTTAGATTATTTTCTAAAGAAATTTTTGTTTTCGTAATGTTAGATATTTCTTTTTCCTTTTCTGATAATATCTCTTGTAATTTTTTCATTTCGACCACTTTATCTGTTTGTTCTTTTTGCATAGAAGAAACAGTGTCATTAAGTTTTAAAATTTGTGCTTCAGTTTCTTCAGCTTCTTTTTTCATTTGAGTAAGAACATCTTCTTTGATTTTAATTGTTTTCATAGTAACATTTAATTTATCTTTTAATTCTTGTACTTCATTGGACATACTATCTAATGATGTTATAAGATTTTTGTCAGTAGCTTCTTTGCTAGTTATCAAAGTTTCGTTCGTTCTCTGTAAATCTTCATATTTTTCTTGTAATTTTTTCAGATTGGAATCTTTTTCTGTTATTAATGATTCTAATTTCGTACGAATTGTCGTTTCAGCTTCGAGTTTTTCTGTCAATTCTTCAATTGACCAACGATTAGCACTTTGATCTGCTTCTAATTTAGATTTTATCTTTTGCAAGGCTTTTGTTTCCTCTTGAGAAGTAGTTAGTTCTGTTTTTAAATTATTAATCATTTTCTGAAAAGAAGATATTTCTTCTTTATGTGAATTTTTCAAAGCTTCACATTGATATTGTAAATTAAGGATTTCTTCTTTATTATTGTTTAATTCACTTGAAAGATTCAATGATTCCTGGGTTTTTTCTTTGAGTTCTTCTTTAATATGACCATTTTCTTTTATTTGTTTTTGAAGGTCTATATTTTCTGTTTCAAATCCCTTTATTTTACCAGATAACTCTGTGTTTAATTTCTTCTCCTTTTCTAATTCAGATTTTCTATTTTCTAATTCTGTTTGTTGCTCTTGAATTTGTGTGTTAGCTTTGTTTAATTCTGCCTCTGTATTAGTCAACTTTGATTCTAATAATTTCAGCGTAGTTTCATTTTTGAATATTTCATCCTTAAATTCAGTAAGTTCTTTTTCTTTCGCTCGTAAATCCTCATTGTATTTCATAAGTTGCTCCGAAGAATTAGTAGAAGTGCTTATTAAATTTGCAATATCAGCTTCCTAAACATAAATTGAATAACTATATATTTTACATCTAATAATTATATCTTTTAAACTCTATTTAGAATAATACTGACCAATTTATCCTTTTGGGAAGTGACTTGGGATAATTTATTTTCTGTACCAGCAATTTGTTGATTTAATTGTCCTATATTACTTTGAAGTCCAGAGAATTCAGTTTCCAAATTCGTTTTAGCTTGTTCTGATAAAGTTAGTGCATTTTGCAATTCTGAAATATAGACAGAATAATAAACTTAATTCAATGATATAATTATTACAATTAAATTTAATATTTATATATTACCTAAAGTTTTTTGTGTGAGATTTTTTATTTCTTCATCTTTATTGGCAAGAATCGATTTTAATTCTCGGACATCATTTTCTAATTTATCGAGTAATAGGGATTTTTGAGATATATAAGCATTTGCTTCTTCTATACATTTTGCTTTTTCTTCAATTTGATCCTGGTAACGTTTAGTTAATTCTTCTATTTCAGCTGCAGTTGTTGAACGAAGTTCTGATAATTCTTTTTCTTTTACTTTTAATTCTTCGCTTAATTTTTTCAATTGTACTGAAGAGTTAGCTTCGGTAACAATTAAAGAAGCGATATCATGCTC